TTGCAGCATTTATTGTATATCAAATAACTCAAATTAATAAGTTATTAACTTAAGTAAACAAGTAATCATAAACTCATAATACGATTAATATGAGGAATAATATTACCATGATTATGTTAAATTTTTTCTATTTCGTATACTATAGATTGCGTAACTCACCTCGTTCTCTAGGGTAGGAGGATAAATTTATTCTCCTCCAATGCATCGGTCTCTTTTCTTCTTATAAACAACCTAAAGGATAAGAAAATTCATACATAAATTCTTACTTTTAAACAAGTTAGGATAAATCAAAAAATTTAGAATTCTTTACCTCAACCAAACTTCTCCTCATTCACAAGTTTTCTAAACTTTCTTCTCTTCCCTTCCTTTCCTCATGCTTTCTTCCTTACCCTATTTCAGCACCTTACCCGATTTTTTTTTTTCTGAAAATCCTGCAGCAGCCCGCAGCAGCTTCTGCACTTGCCACCTGCTTCGGATTCCAGAGAGGGACTACAGGTGGGGAGAATGAAATGCAAGGCTTAAACTGAACTTAATATAATATGTACTAATAAAATTCCACTACAATTCCACTACCCAACACTCCCAGCCGCATGATCCAGCTCCCAATCATCCGCCCATTGCATGCTCGGCTTAGTGGAGAAGCTATAGTGAAATGCATTTAATTAATTTAAATGGTTGTATGATATAGTAAATTAGTTAATGAGTTTTAATAATATTAATTAACTAAATGCACACATATATGTTTCATTTTGGCTATTACTTATATATATTAAATTGCTCAAAATTAAAATAGAATTTAATGAAATATATTTGATGTTTTATGGAAGTGTACAACAACAACAACATCAAGCCTTTATCCCACTACGTAAGGTCGGCTACATGAATCCTTTTTCTCCATTGTGTCCTATTAAAAGTCAAATTCTCGTTTAAATCTAATAAAGAAAGGTCATTCCTAATATTTTCTAACCAACCTTTCTTAACATAAGTCAAATCTTATACCTCTACTCTCCTAACCAAGTCATCGGAAGGCCGCCGTTTTATGTGACCAAACCATCTAAGGCGACTCTCTCTAATCTTATCTTCTACTAGAGCTACTCCAACCTTTTCACGTATATGCTCATTTCGTATCCTATCTCTAAGGGTAAAGCCACTCATCCACCTGAGCATCCTCATCTCTGCCACACTTAACTTAGTATTATGCTTCTCTTTTAATGGCCAACATTCGGCACCATAAAGCATTGCAGGCCTCACTACCATCTTATAGAATTTTCCCTAAGTTTGAGGGGTACATTTCTATCACATAACAAGCCTGATGCATTCCTCCACTTCAACCATCCAACTTGAATTCTGCTGATAATATCCCCATCTATTTCACCATCACTCTGAACAATAGATCCAAGATATCTAAAACGTGTACTCTTATTATTGAGTTGATCGCCCAAAGTCACAATCCCCTCACTAGGTCTATGTTGACCTTCGTATAATGTCCAAAGGAAACAAAAAAATTTTTGCATACCTCGTTTGATCGAAGAAATCCCGAAAATCCCGTTGATTTTCCGACACTCTGCTCTGATTCGCGATCAAATCCCTGCCGAAATCCCGCTGCTACAGTCCTATCTCTGTGAACGATAATACCTCTATAATTCGCACAATCTTGTACATCACCTTTATTCTTAAAAATAGGAATTAACACACTCATTCTCCACTCATCTGGCATCTTCTTAGTCTTCAAAATAGTATTAAAAAGTTTAGTAAGCCATGAAATTCCTTCATCTCCTAAGCATTTCCACACCTCTATTGGAATATCATCAGGTCCAACAGCTTTTCCACACTTCATTTTCTTTAAAGCCTCTCTAACTTCAGTTTTACTAATACGCTGATAAAAACATAAATCTTTATTTTCATTTAGGGTGCTAAGGTCACTATAGTCAATCTTATTATCACAATCTTCATTAAAAAGTTTAGCAAAATATCTCATCCATCTTTGTTGAATATCATCTTCTAAGAAAAGTATTTTTTGATCTTCATCTTTAATACACTTCACTTAAACTAAATCCTTACTACTTCTATCTCTTTGTTTGGCTAACTTATACATATATCTTTCTCCCTCTTTAGTATCTAATATATTATATAAATCACTAAAAGTTAATGTCTTTGCATCGCAAATTGCTTTCTTAGCATCCTTACGAGCCACTTTATATATTTCCCAATTATCAGAATTTTTAAAATTAAACCAATTTTTATAACAAAGCTTCTTATTTTTAATCTTTTCTTGCACATTAGGATTCCACCACCAACTATTTTTACTATTAGGAGCTTTTCCCTTTGATACTCCAAGAACATCTTTTGCAATATTCTTAATATCACTAGCCACTTTTTTCCACATAATATTAGCATCCTCATGCACAGACAAAATCTTAAGATCTAAAATCTTAATTCCAAAAATATTTTTGTTAATATTCTTTAAATGCCCCCATCTAATCCTAGAAAATTTTTTTACTTTATTTTTTATTTTATGCCCCTTTATCTTAAAGTCCAAAACTAATAATCGATGTTGGGTACATAAACTTTCACTCGGAATAACTTTACAATCTTTGCAATCTAAACGATGTTTTATGGAAGTGTGATGGGATAAATTTTGGAGGAAAAAAATCATGCTTATATGTTTGAAAATGTTGAGTATTATAACATGGATCTTTTTTGGGGCATTATGATCTTTAGTTGGAATCAGTATGAAGTTATTTTGAGCCTTCATGCTTTGGTGAAGATCTCTAGATTTTGGTATATCAGCCTTTAGCGCAAGGGAAAGCTCTTGGTATCTTCTTGAGGCGGTAATGGGTCTTAAGATTCCACTTGGGAATGATTTGGTTTTGAGCTTCATAACTCAAGTCATCGAGTTGTGCAATAGTTGTATTATGTTATGCATATTATTTCTTTGGGTACCGTTGGCCATCAAGTTCGATGAGCTAGTATGCATTACCTTCATACACCTTTTTGATGATTAATGAGGCGTCACAGTTTGGCTCAATCTTTACATTGATGCATGAATGTCGTATTATATGCTTGTAAAGGGTAAGAAGTAGTTGATCTTGGAAGCTTCTTGGGTGGACCATTTGGTCATGGGCCATAGCCATTCTTGCTAGGTAGATTTCCATATGTTTTGGGATCAAAGGTGGACTTTTTCTAGCACATCTAGCTTTTCTAGTTCTCCTCCTAGACTACGATGCAAAGCAATTGTATCTTAACTTCCAATTGGAGTATGATCTCTATTATGTAAACTAATGATTAGTTGTTTTCTTCGGAATAGGGTTTTGCATTTAGTCTTATAGGCCCACAACTCTCGCAATCTTTTATAATGCCACGTTTACTTTTTTTGTGAGGGCATTCTTCAGCAATTTGACCAAGGCTTTATTTATGGCATCTACTAGCCCACTTATTCTTGGGTTGTAGATCGATGAGAAACATCAAGGATTTGTAGTTGGTGATTTTAAAGGTTGGCTTGTTGTCCAAAGGTGAGATTGTAGGGCACACCAAATTGGTAGAAGATATTTGCTATTAAGAATCTTATCACCTTCTATGCGGTGGCTTCTTGAATAGGATAGTCTTTTCCATATGGAGAAGTAATGGATTGTAGCTAAGGTGAAGTCTTGAATATGATAGTCTTTTCCATATGGAGAAGTAATGGATTGCAGCTAAGGTGAAGTGATGGTTGGATGGTGACTGTAGGTTGATTGAGCCAATGATGTCAGTGCCTCAGGTTTCAAAAGGCTAGGATGCCATTATTGGATATAAAATGCCTTTGAAGGCTTGGGCATTGAGATCATTGGCTGATGGAGGGTTTCATTATATATTTGAAACAATGAGTCATGACACTTGCTATAGTTGATGTAGTTTCAAAGCTTTGTTTGGCCAATAGTAGCTTATTCATTTAATTTTGATGGTCATTTTTGGGGCTAGATTGGTGAGTGCTATAAAGGCCTCACGGTTCTCTACTATGACATATTTAGCTTCATCATTTCTGAGATAGTGTGAGTTATTATAGAAGAATTGAGTTATTATAGATATGAATCATTTAAATTTATAGTCCATTGGCCAAGTCAAGGTTATTTATAAGGGCTTTGTATTCTACCTCATTTTTCCAAGTTTTAGAAAGGTTGCAGTAAGATACCTCGCTCCGGGGCTTTGCTATCTTGCTCAACTATTGTAGGATTTTCATGGAGAGTAGGTCGTACAAACTGATGGGATTTGTTTTGCTTGACCTGCTTGCTGCTCATGGAATTTCAATGTCAATTAGAGTACTGGTTAGTACTGGATTTGAAGGTCTGATGAGAGTAGGATTTTGCCATGCTAGTATCTACGTTGTCATTTGTGCCATTATGGCCATCATTGTATTGGCCACGATCTTTTTGTCTCTGGCTTTCAAAAGTTGACAGAGTTCTGGTTTGAGATTGTTGGTTGTAGCTGTGTTTTCGTACTTCTGTATGAGTGCATAAGAAAGATTATATCATCCAATTTGGATATGAACATGAGAAGAACCATATTTTGGACAAAAACTGTAATTTATGTTTTTTTGAATTGAATTGAACTCATGCGAATTTTTTCCTATTTTTTGCTAGAAATTTATAAGTTAATAGAAGTGAATTTTTAAAGAAGATTGTGATTAAGTTTTTAATATTATATACTGAAGGACCGAGTAACCAATAGGGGTGCACCGTCTTGTCTCCTTACATATTATGGCATCTTGTTGTTCTAAATGTCTACTTCACAGTTTCCTTAGGTTTGTTTATCTTTAGTTCTCACATTTCTAAATGGCAATCAGAGCTTTCTTTCACTTGTTTTCCTTGTGTTTCCTTAGCTATCCTTCTTCTTTAGTAGAACTCTACTTTGCGTACATCTAGCTTGGTAAACAATCGCTACTACAAATGTGATAGCATGATAATTTCTTACATAGCTCATTTTTTATCTTGAAAACAAGTCTCATTCCTGGTTTTACTTGGTAGAATTTTAGGAGCTGTTGTTGTGATAGCAGCAAATGCTGGAGGTGCCTGGACACCGATTGGTGATGTAACAACAACCATGTTATGGATTCATGGGCAAATATCCACTTTAGCAACAATGAAGGTACTCTAATGGTGCAATTTATATTTTCTAAACTTATCACTAACTTTTACATTTTTCAGACTCTACAATCAACGTAAACTTCCATAATATACCTTGCTTGGAAAATGGTTTTTAGATTGTCCATTCAAGGTTTTTTTTGGTTTATATAATTTTGAGCATGTATTATTGGGTTATTCTGTTGATGTATTTCCTAGTTTTCCCATAAATAGTTTTTAGTATCACTATGGATTGTTCATTGAAGAGTAATAGACTTGGTTGGCTTCATATGATGATTTACCTTATCATCTACTAATATGATTCGCGTGCCATGATTTTATGATAATATGATGATGGCAATTTCATACCATGGGTCTTAAAACACTATCGATGGACAATCAAATTTGAAATTTAAACTGTTTATTGAGGCGTCTGTGCTGTTCTGCCTCAAAAGTTCTTTGCTCTGCAATGCCACTAGTCCACAGGAGGCTGTACAACACTAAGTATTTCTTGAAAGAATTATAAGCATAATAGTGGAGTATGGGAGTGAGAGCATTGTTCTGCCTTATTACTGCCTTGCCAAATAAACATTGTGCTCTACTGGCTTGGTTTTACAGATTGAAGGCAGCCAGATTATAAAGTTAGGTTTCCTCTTTAATTTCCTTATTCGTGTTCTTAAGAAAAAAAATTTTGTTTAGGTAAATTAATCAAATCCTACTTATAAAGGACCAAAATGAATTTTTGTATCATTAAATAAATGTTTAGTGAATCTTGAAGAGGTGGCTTATGACTTTCTACTAAGTCTTCGTTTGGGATGGCTTTCTTATTGCTTTTTAGTTTTCTAATATAAAAATTAAAATTTGTGCTAAAAAACTACTTTAAGAAAAATAAGAAAGCTGTCCCAAACAAAATCTAAGGATGGAGAAATGCGCAGTCATTTGGCACACTACTTTTAGCTTATTTCTTGGGGCAAGAATATCCATCTACTAGGAAAATTGCAGTCAGGTTAAAATTCCAGCCAAGCATTTTGGAATTTTACTGAGGTTTTCCTGTTTTTTTTTTAAAATTTGTCTCTTGGCGTTAAAAAATGGCATAGGAAGACATCATATCTCTGAATCTTTAACTATATATATATATATATTAGTCTCTGTCATATAAATATCAATTTGAGAAGAATGTAGTGGGGAGCCTTCTAAACTTTCCGATAGTTTTTTAGTGTTCATGATAATTGCAAATTTCCTCGAGTTGTCATTTGCTAATCAGTCAATTCACTACATGCTTTCAGGGCTTGTTTATTCCATCTGCCGTTTCATTAGCGGTGCCATTAGCGCTGATGTCCCTTACAACGTGAGTAATCACCGACTATTGTCAGTTTTAGAAATTCAGTGGAACATTCATGGAAGCAAAAGCTTTATTATTGCCTCTTGTTTTTAGTGAAGTCAATGGGGCAACTGGGCAATCTTCTACCGTTTTAGCGTCAGAAAAAATGGCCCCAAGAGGACAACTTGTTTTTGCCGTTGGGTTTGGGGCTTTACTGTTTGTCCCTGTGTTCAAAGCCATAACCGGGCTTCCACCTTACATGGGTATTCTTTTTGGACTGGGAGTCCTATGGATCTTAACTGATGCAATTCACTATGGGGATGAAGAAAGACAGAAGCTGAAGGTGCCACAAGCTTTATCACGTATTGATACACAAGGAGTTCTCTTTTTCCTGGGAATACTATTGTCTGTGAGCAGGTATTTATTTTGTTATCTTCAAATTTAAATTTCATAAGTTAAAATATTGCGTGTAGTGATGAAATGAATCTTCTGTCAATCTTTGTTTGTCCTGAGTAAAATAACAGAAATACTGATAAAAACATTTTGCTCTAAAAATGCGCGAAATGATTATTGATACTATTCCATAGCTTGGAAGCTGCTGGAATACTGAGGGAGCTGGCAAACTATCTTGATGCACATATACCAAATGCCCAGCTGATTGCAAGTGCAATAGGAGTAGTTTCAGCTATTATTGACAATGTTCCACTTGTCGCCGCAACAATGGGAATGTACGACCTTACTTCTTTTCCTCAAGATGCTGATTTTTGGCAGCTCATTGCTTTTTGTGCTGGTACCGGAGGTTCAATGCTCATCATTGGATCTGCTGCTGGAGTTGCATTCATGGGAATGGAGAAGGCTGATTTCTTTTGGTATCTTCGCAAGGTATGCGTTTGTTTGTTATGATAACTGCTTTTCGTAAGTGGAATTTAGACTTAGGATGTTTAGGCATATAGCATGCTATTGGAAAGTAACATATCACTTAAAAGTTATCCAACCTTTGTTTTATTGGGAAAATGATTTAGACTTCAGGATATACTGATAAAAAATATTTTAGGATGATCAACAAAGCTTTTGGATTTGATTTGAGATCAACATAATACATGTGGAATCAATTAAAATCTATGTTGCAATCATCTCAAAGATAAATTTAATGATTTTAATACTCATTCTGACTAAATATTAATGAAGATATTTTGATCAAAATTTTCATTTTGTCTTATATTTTAGAGCAGTCTTTCAAATGTAGTTAGAAGTCTCCGTCTTTTTTTTGTCTTAGACTTGCGGCGGTGAGTGACAAACCTTTTGACCGCAAGATCCAAACTTCTTTTTTCAATGAAAAAGATCAAAATTCCAATCATTCATGATGCACCAGTTATAAAGTAATATGTTGGTTGCATATCAAAGTTGAAATTTTGATTCAATTTTTCAGTTTGATATTTATTCTGCTCAATTTTTTATCAAGATATTTTGATCTAGTTTGTCACTTAGCCTGATATTTTAGGAAAGTCTTTTAATGTGGTTGGATGTCTCCATCCTTTTTTATTCTTTGAAAATGATGAGCATTTATGTTAGTAAAGTTTATGAAAATTATGGTGGGCTCAATAACTCAGATTAGCGGTGGGAGTGAAAAACTATTGACTCCGTGCTATGGAAGCCTCTCAAACTTCTTTTTTCAATGAAGCAGATTAAAGATCCAATCTTTCATGATCTGTGCTTCTGATATCAAATATTCCCCTAATTCTCATCTTCTACTTTCACATTTATATCCATCACATTGAACACCTGAATTTCTTCATGTTCTTTAATTATCTTTATACGCTGCTCTGTCATTCCAAAATCGCCAGGGATCATAAACATATTTTTGACAATAATCATTTTATTTTTACACTTATTCTGTCTGTTAAAATTAAAATCATCACCTGAAGGTGTTTGTAGTGTTTAAAACCGATATTTCTATCACCTTCCAACTAAAATAACGGAAGCTAATCTATTACATCTGTTCGCGATTTTTTTTTCTGATTACCTCACTAAACATGCTGTTAAAAGGCATCTTCTTCATGAGTTTAGCTAACTAAATTTAATATTGTGTCAGGTAAGCGGCTTTGCTTTTGCCGGTTATGCTGCAGGAATTGCAGCATATTTGGCTGGTCAAAACCTACACTTCTCTCTACCAACTTCCTTAGCTGAGATCCCTTTACTCTCAGGATCATAAGTACAGGCATTCAGTTTCTGTTCTATCCATGAGGTAAATTACTCTATTCCGGCACCATTCCTTATTAGTTAAAACTAATAAAGGGCTGAGGGTGACAATCATGTTTATTATTATCATGCTGGAATTTTTTGTCAAAAGTTAAGGACTTTCTGATTTGACTTTTTTTTTTATTATTTTATCCTTATTATGAAATTCATTAATGTTAGAAAGTAAAATTTTAGGATTGTGTGTAAAATTGGCATGTGCTCCTTGAAGACTCTAGATTTAGGGAATGTTTGGTATCGGATTTATCGTGGGATTTAAGTCGGATTTATGCTAAATCCAGCCAAACGATTTTTGTTCGCGTGTTAAATCCAGGGATTTCATAAATCTCAAACTTAGGGATTTACGACTTAAATCCCAGATTTACTAAATCCCTCGATTCGGTGGATTTAACGGGATTTAGCCAAAGAAGCGCGGGAAAGGGAGAAAGTTACCTTCACAGCCAGCGAGCTCTCGTTCTTGCTTTCGATCAAAATGTCGTAACTTTCGATCCGACAGTAAGGGAAAGTCTGTCAAAGGAGCGAAGTCTAACAGCCACGAAGGAGCCAAAGAAGCGACGCGTGCAATCTCTACACTTTTGCTAAGCAACAAAGCCGAACAGCAACGAAAAAGAGAGGATGGAATGCAAAACCCTTGACACCTCTAAGGTATTATTGATTAACTTAATTAATATAATTTAAATTATTAATAATTAAGTAAATTAATTAAATAATTAATTGTATAATTAGTACATAACTTAATTGTATAATTAATAAATAAATATTAATATAATTATCTTAATTAATATAACTTAAAATATATATTATTAAATATCTAAGTAATTTGTACTTAACATATTATTAAATTCATAACATATTAATTTTTTTAATTATAAATTTATATTTGAAATTATAATTATCTTCTTATCATTTAAATCTCTAATTATCATAAATCTTGAAATATATTACCAAACAGTTTCTTAGAATTTAACAGAATTTAACATTTGTCATACCAAATAGTTTTAAGGATTTAATTATACCCTCAGGATTTACTAAAATTGGATTTACAGGATTACTAAATCCTACTAAAGTTAAATCTCACTTGTTGTCAAACATCCGCTTAACCATCTAACATCACTTGTGCTCTCTATTGATTCTAAATTCATTCCAAGTTACTAGAATTTCTCTGAACACCTTCATAATTATTATTCATTTTAATACTTAATGCTCAAGAATTAAAATTAACATTTTATCATATGTATCTAAATCCATAAAAATTATCATTTTATGCAAAGCTAGTGGGTATTGAGGTAGCTAACCATTAATTATCTGCAAATCTCTTTTCTCTAGTCTTAAACATATGCGCAATCATTGGGTAGTCATATCTCCATGAGTGATAACATTGCAATGGAAGTATGATATTCTATCATCCAACAACTTTATAGTAATATTTCATTACATATAATTGGTTGTTCTAGTTCTAAGAGAAACCAAAAAGGTGATTAATTATGAATACTTAAGGTATA